TGGACAATTGCAAAAATGTCATTAATGGTGTGTCCATTTTCAAAAATCCCGTGAGTTGTCTATTTTCAAAAATACCACTAATTAAGGATTTTTAACCCTAAATATTAAAGTTCTAAACCCTTTAAAATGTTTTAACCCCTAACAAACTATAAACCCTCAAAATTAAACCTTAATACAACATGGTTAACTCAAATATAAATGATATATTGACTAAATAATTTTTAAAAGTGGCATTTTTGAATTTTTTTGAAAAAATAGCATTTTCGAAAAGTGGCATTTCAAAAGTGACATTTCTCAAAAATTCCAATAAAAATTTAAGATTAAAAAAAGTAAATCAATATAAACTGAAAATTATATATGTTTACGAGGTAGTTTGGTTTTTGCGGTTTAAACTAGATAATTGGGTTTTTTTTACCGTTTTCCCATAATTATTAAGTAAATTGTATGAATCCACAAGATTGTAAGCTCGCTAATTTTTTATTTTAGTATATAATCCCTATACATATAAACAATGTTCAAGAACGCCTAATCGGAGCCTAGGCAATTTAATAGGCGGTCTAGGCGTTTTACAAAACTACATAATATATTAAATATATAGAGTAAAATATATAAAAACATAATTTATAGAAAATAAAATTTATATTGTATTTATATTCATCATTTTATAGCAAAATATATAGAATAATATGATTTATATATAAATTTTTTATTTATTTTATTATTATAATACCATAATATTTTATGTGGTATAAGCGGTAATCTCCACTGTCTATGGACCTACCGCGTAAACGCCGCCTAGGCGAATGCCTAGAACGCTTTTTAGCGGAAGAGTCTTAAATTTACTCTTTAGAATAACCCCTAATCAATTTTAACAGATGGCATCTTCTCAACTTTTCACTTTTTTTTTAACTTAATAATTAACTTCTTTTTTCTAACTTAATTTATGAAAAAAAAAAACCTAACTTCTTACGAAACTGCTATCACGATCTCCACTTCCTCTCATCAACAATGGAGGCACAAAACTATTCGATTACTAATACACGATCAAAACCACCAGTCATCTCTTTCAATATGATTATTTTGCAACATCTCTTATCATTTTTTCTTTTCATATATATATTTTTTTAAACCGGGGTGTCTAGGTTTTACCACTCGACTAATTCCCCAGGATGAGTGTAGCCGTCGAGTAGTTCACTCATTGGATTTTCTAATGGCCTAAAATGTGACATCATTTTGACTGGTCAAATAGCAGTGAAAATGTTCCGAGAAAGAATCAAACTCAGATCGGAAGGATTTACCTCTTTTTCCTGAACATTTTTTACCATTAGGCCACCACCACTTGGTTATTTTCATATTCTCTTCACTATCAAATAAGGATTATATTTTTTTTTGTTTCTTACGGCTTCCGATTACCTCCACCGTCTCTTTGTCTGGTTGTTTCTGCAAATATATTTTGCAATTCCTCTTTTCAGTTTGAATTTTTTTTTATTTATTATCTCATAAATTGTTGTTTTACTTGATTGTCCCATTCGATTGTGATGCTTACATCGATGCAAAGCACTCTCAAAGTACTCTATCTTCTTGCTATGCTCTTAAATCTCAACGAGTTAGCCATAATTTTCAATTCCAATCGTTTTTTTGCAGGTAGTTGACTACCACCAAAAAAGAAAAAATTATCAAAAACCGGGATTCTGCATATATCAATGGTATCATCAATTATTCATATCTCCAACTATTTAATTTTCGAAAGAGATCATGTTTATGTTTCACATCCGATTCAAATTT